TTTTTATATTTCTCATGTTAGGGCAGCCAGTCAATTATATTACATTTCTAACAGAACAAAGCAAACAAACAGAGAAAATATAAAATGTGTGAGTTTGGTAGTTGATTAAATGTCCTTTGACCAGTCTCTGGCCACTTGGAGTGTCTCTGGTGTTGCTGAAAGAAGGTCCTCCATGGTGCATGTGGCAGGGCTCAGGTTGCATTGCAGCAGGTGGTCAGTGGTTTGCTCTTCTCTGCACTCGCATGTCGAGGATTCCACTTTGTAGCTCCATTTCTGAAGGTTGGCTCTGCATCACGTGGTGCCAGAGCGCAGTCTGTTCGGCGCCTTCCAAGTCGCCCAGTCCTCTGTGTGCCCAGGGGGGAGTCTCTCATTCTTTATCAGCCATTGGTTGAGGTTCTGGGTTTGAGCCTGCCATTTTTGGACTCTCACTTGCTGAGGTATTCCAGCGAGTGTCTCTGTAGATCTTAGAAAACTATGTTTTTGAACATTTACATAAAACTGTAATTTGAAATAAGAATGCCCAACTCTGATTAAATCATTATTCTAGCCTTCTTCAATGAAAATATACTGACTTTCTCTTGAAATTGTCCACCTGCTTGTGGATTTCAGTGGCTTCTTTGTATAGTCTGACATAATGGTTGTCAGAGGGTCCAGCATTTCTGTGTTCTCAGATAATATTCTGTGTCCAGGTTGGTTCATCATGTGGTCTGGTTGGATTAGTCTGTTGTGCCTTTTGTGTTCCTTAATTCGTGCCTGGGAAATGCTGCTGTGTTTGGGGATCCCTATGGAGACTTCTTGTCCACAGCTGCACAGTATGTGGTAGACTCTTGCAGTGGCGAGAGGGTGCCTCTTATCTTTGCTGAACATAGGCAGGGGCGGCTCATCCATTACGCGAAGTAAGCGGTCGCAGAACACTTTTTTTTTGCCAGGGGCGCAGAGGCGCCTCTGTAAATGCCCCTCGACCGCCACTTGAGGAGCACCCCCTCAGCTCACAACAGCCCTAGCAGTCCGGGGGGAGCCTCGGCTTTCTTGCCTCGCTGCCGGGCGATCCTCTTCCCAAAGGGGCCGGGCCCTTGAGCCTCACCTAGCCCCTCTCGTTCCTGCTCCACCCGGCCACCGGGTGCGCGAGCAGAGCCGGCGCTCAATCGTTCTCCGTGTTCGATCCCTTCCCCATGACCGGCTCCCTTTCCCAATCCCCTGGCGCTCCACCCGCCTCCTCTCCTCTCCCCAATCCGCGGGTGGGCCAAGGGGCGCCGCGCCTGGCCCGCTTCGGGTCCGGAGGCATGTCTGAAGACCCCAGCGTGCGCACCAAAAGTCGCCTCTTCTCCTGACTTTCTCTTCAGCCATTGGGACCAAGAGAGAGAGAGAGAGAGAGCCCCTCCGGCTGGAGGTATCTCCCACCTCCGCTCCCTCCTTTGTTTTTGCGCCTACTTTCAGGAAAGGTGGGCATCTCCACCTCTCTCTCTCTCTCTCTCTCTTGGTCCCAATGGCTGAGGAGAAAGTCAGGAGAAGAGGTGACTTTTGGTGCACACGCCGGGGTCTTCAGGCACGCCTCTGAACCCAAAGCGGGCCAGGCAAGGGAGCAAGTGCGGCAAGTGTAGTCACTGGGATGTATAGTTCACCTACAATCAAAGAGCATTCTGAACTCCACCAATGATGGAATTGAACCAAATATGGTTCACAGAACTCCGACAACAAACAGGAAATATATATCAATGATTGGTTGGGAGGGCGCCAAAATACTGTTTGCTTACCGTTGAAAATTACCTAGGGCCGCCTCTGAACATAGGCTATGAATCCTTGTGTATAATAGCAGTCCTGTGTCTAGAAAAGGCACAACCCAATGTTTTTCTGCTCACTTGTGGTCTCCAAGGTTGGGATTGGCGTGTTTTGGGTGGGATTTCTACGTGCCATTTGGCACATCGGCCACGTGCCGCACAGAAAGTTGCGGGTACAGAAATATCCTCCTTCTAGGAAAAGACTCAAGTCCTTTCTGATTGAGGGAAAGTAGATGGTGCTGCCTCTTGTAATTTCAGGGCAGAACCGCCACGATCACAGCAACCCCAAATTACATGATTGAAGGAGGAAGAAGTCCACAGACAGGCCTTTGGAAACGCTCAAACCTTGTGCGGCTGGAAGGAAGAAGCCAGATGGGAAGGAGGTGAAAGCAGCACTAAATCACGGGGAATGGATCCCTGCTTGCAAAAATGGCAAGGCTTTGGAAATAAAATAAATTGAAATAGCTGGGTTCGGAGGGATGAAAAATAGGAGGCTTTTATATAAATGGTGACACTATGGAACATTTCAATTCAAGTCAGTTGTGAGTTTTGCAGCAGAACGCCAGCAAAAACAAAGTAAACTATCACAGGATGTCTCTGGCTTTTGTCTGCAAAGGCGGCTTTTCCTTCAAGGCAAAGGGGTCTGTGAAGATCTCTCTACAGTACTCTTTCTGCAATATGTATATCCTCAAAATGACTTGGACTACAAAGTCCATCATCCTGCCAAACAGGTCAAGGCAAGATGGGAGTAGTAGTTCAAAAGTGGAGAAGAAGCGGTTCAGAAAGGATGCTCAGCAATGTTGGTTAGTCCCAACCAAAGGAGACCATAGAATTTGTGGCCCTTTCTACACTACCGTATAATCCAGATTATAAAAGAAGATAATCTGGATTTTATATGGCAGAGTAGATGGCACCCTTGAGTTCGAAGGGTCCCAAAGGCCATCCAGTGCCACCCTTGATGGTTAGCCTCACCCAAAACAGACCACAGAAACTAGAGTTGGAAAGGACTCCAAAGACCATTTAGTCCAACCCTCTCCTGCCAGGTAGGAATCTACAACTCAAACCCTCCTAAAAGTTGGCCCTTCCAGCCTCTGCTTAAAATCCTATTTCAGTAAATAGATTTATTTAGACCTGTGAAATCCATTGTTCAATGGTGGGCCAATATATTGGAGAGACTATGGATTGAATAGAATGTGGAACAATATTATCGAACTGTCATGCTGGAAGAGACCCTGAAGGCCATCCAGTCCAACCTCTGTCTGCAAAGAAGGAAGACACAACCAAATCCCTCCCAGCAGATTAATAATAATAATAATAATAATAATATAGAGATATCTGAGCTGGGTTGTTGTTGGGTTTTTTGGGCTATATGGCCATGTTCTAGAGGCATTCTCTCCTGACGTTTCGCCTGCATCTATGGCAAGCATCCTCAGAGGTAGTGAGGTCTGTTGGAACTAAGAAAGGGTTTATATATCTGTGGAATGACCAGGGTGGGACAAAGGACTTTTGTCTGCTGGAGCTATGTGTATGCTTCAACTGACCACCTTGATTAGAAAACAGAAGAGGGAAAACAATCAGGGACATCTAATCACCTCTCAACAAAAGATTGCTCCAGGCACTGCCACAGCATCAAATGCTAATCAAGGTGGTCAGTTGAAACATTCACACCTAGCTCCCAGCAGACAAGAGTCCTTTGTCCCATCCTGGTCATTCCACAGATATATAAACCCAATTTTCCTAGTTCCAACAGACCTCATTACCTCTGAGGATGCTTGCCATAGATGCAGGCGAAACATCAGGAGAGAATGCCTTTAGAACATGTCCATATAGCCCAAAAAAACCTACAACAACCCAGTGATTCTGGCCATGAAAGCCCTTGACAATACAATAATAATAATAATAATAATAATAATAATAATAATAATAATCTTTATTTATACCCTGCCACCATCTCCCCAAAGGGGACTCGGAGCGGCTCACATGAGGCCAAGCCCAAAAATGCAATACAGCAAAATAAAAAACGGAAAACAACAAGAAATTACTTCATTATAAAATACATAATGTAACAAAATAAAATAAACAATGCAAAATAACATAATAGAAAATCAAACACAATGGGCAGGCCAAATGCACAAGACAAAATGATAAAACCTTGGATGAGACAGGAGTGGAAAAAAATGTATTTGTGAGGGAGTATATTTGTGGCCACTCAGATGGCCACTCAATCTGTTTTAAAGCTTCCACTGACTCAATCCTGTAGATTCCATGATCAATCCCACTCCTTGGAGGTAACAACATGTTGTCAGCTAAAATAATGTTGCCCTTGGGTTGTTGTAGGTTTTTTTGGGCTATATGGCCATGTTCTAGAGGCATTGTCTCCTGACGTTTCGCCTGCATCTACGGCAAGCATGCTCAGAGGTTGTGAGGATGCTTGTCATACATACAGGCAAAAAGTCAGGAGAGAATGCCTCTAGAACATGGCCATATAGCCTGAAAAAACTTACAACAACCCAGTGATTCAAGCCATGAAAGCCTTTGGCAATATAATGTTGCCCTTGTTTCCAAAAGGGTGGATTTGTGATCTACCCTGACCCATTTCTCCCCCATTTCCAACCTCTGGTCTCTCCACTACACCGAGTTGAGACAGGTTAGGTGCAAATATTTGGTGAAGTTTCTTAGGACCGAATACATTTTGGGTGCCCTTGGGTATGTCACACTCTCTCAGCCTCAGAGGAAGGCAATGGCAGGCCTCCTCTGAAAACATCTGGCCAAGAAAACCTTATGATAGGGTTACCATAAGTTGGAAATGATTTGTAGGAACACAGCTGTAGTGGCTGAAATACTCTTGCAAGGTCCACCCTGGTTGGTTTACTCACATCTTTGGATACAGTACAAGGAGGTATACAATGCCTGTTTGTGCCATACTTTCCTCTAGCTATGCAAAAGAATCTAGTTGACTTTGCCTAGAAGCTAAAAGGATCAGCCGTATGGATCCTCTCTTCGGAATTCCACTGTTGAACTGCCTTTCTTATGGTCAGGAAGTTCTTCCTAATGTTCAGGTGGGATCTCCTTCACTATAATTTGAATGCATGCTCCATTGAGCCCTAGCAAAGAATCTTACTCCTTCCTCAATGGGACATCCTTTCCACCTTCTCTTTTGCAGGCTAAACAGGCCCTGCTCTTTAAACCACTCTTTGTAGGGTTTGGCTTCCAGGCCCTTACCTTCTCTCAACTCGCGGCCCAATTTTGGCACTGTCTTCTTTCCTGGCCTCCCGGAGACGTCGCTTTGGTCACTGTGGACTCCTGAAGGAATCCTGTGGGAGAGAAAAGGCAAAAGAGAGTGCAGTGGGGGGCATCGCCTTGAATATTTCCCATGTGACATAAGGTCTCTATCCATGAGAGATACAAGACTGGACTTTGCATGGATCTGTGAAACCATGTGTTACAAGGAACCCAGATGGAATGAAGGAAATGAAGGATCAACCCATCCATTCACATGGTCCCAAAGCCATCGTTTGCTCCAGCTCCTTGGAGAGAATTGGAACCATATTTGCTAATTCTGCCCAAGTGCCATTAAGCAGTTCTGCCCCATGTTAATCTGGATCATCTCTATGTGGTACTTTGCCACCATGGAATTTGCTTGCCCACCCTTCAGAGTAAGGGATAATGTAGATGTGCCCAAAGCTTCCAATGGTGGTCTTAGAGCAGCGGTTCTCAACCTGGGGGTTACGACCCCCAAGGGGTCACCGGGCCATTTTCCGGGGGTTGCGGAGCCCCCTGTGCCTTTCCAACATGGCTGCCAGCTCCTGTGAGAGCCAAACAGCTAGGTGCAGGGTGTCAGGAGGAGGAGATTGGAGGCAAAGGCATGCGAGGGAGAAAGCACGCCTCTCGGCCCTTGCTCCCTGCTGAGCTCAGAAGGGGCGAGCGTTGAGCAGAAGGTTCCCCGTCGTTCATGGGCTTGGAAGGGGCAAGGGGCAAGCGCAAGGTGCCCCACATGGCCAAGGCCATCCGGGGCACCTTCGCTGCTCACCTCTCGAACAAGGAACAGGTCCTGGGAGCGCACATCCAGGGGCCATGCTCCACCGTGCCTCTCCAGGCAGCTGTGCCTGCACCACTCTCAGGACAGCAAAGAGGCCTCTTCAGGAACTGAAACGATTGAAGGTACTGCAAATCTAATCTATTGTACATTCCTCCCCTAAACTCCTCCAGTATTTTCTGTTGGTCATGGTAGTTCTATATGCCAAGTTTGGTTCAATTCTATTATTGGTGGAGCTCAGTATGCTCTTTGATGCCTGGTGAACTATAAATCCACAGAACTGCAATTCCCAAAGGTCAGGGTCTATTTTCCCCAAACTCCTCCAGTGTTTTCTGTTGGTCATGGTAGTCCTATATGCCAAGTTTGGTTCAATTCTATTATTGGTGGAGCTCAGTATGCTCTTTGATGCCTGGTGAACTATAAATCCACACAACTGCAATTCCCAAGTGTCGGGGTCTATTTTTCCCAAACTCCAACAGTGTTCAAATTTGGGCATATTGAATATTTGTGCCAAGTCTAGTCCATATCCATAGTCGTTTGGGTTCACAGTGCTCTCCGGATTTAGGTGAACTACATCTCCCCTAAATTAGTGTCAATTCCTCCCAACCCCCTCCAGTATTTTCTTTTCATCATGGGGGTTCTGTGTGCCAAGTTTGGTGCAGGTCTGCAATTTGTGGGGGTCTCACTGGGCTGTGGAAGTCAGAGCGGAATCGGTTGAAGGTACTTCAAATCCCTTCATCCTTGTCCATACTCCCCCAAACATATTGTTTTTATCATTAATCACTATGTTTTATTTATTTATTTTTATTGTAACAATGCAGAATGTATTTTTATTGTAACAATAAAAATACATCCTGCATATCAGATATTTGCATTACAATTCATAACAGTAGCAGTTATGATGTAGCAACAAAAATATGGTTGTCGAAGGCTTTCATGGCCGGAATCACTGGGTTGTTGTAGGTTTTTTCGGGCTATATGGCCATGGTCTAGAGGCATTTTCTCCTGACGTTTCGCCTGCATCTATGGCAAGCATCCTCAGAGGTAGTGAGGTCTGTTGGAAGTAGGAAAATGGGTTTATATATCTGTGGAATGACCAGGGTGGGACAAAGGACTCTTGTCTGCTGGAGCTAGGTGTGAAGGTTTCAACTGACCACCTTGATTAGCAAAAATATGGTTGGGGGTCACCACAACATGAGGAACTGTACTTAGAGGTCATGGCATTAGAAAGGTTGAGAACCACTGTCTTAGAGGGAGAGAAGAGGACTTTGTGCAGCAAAAGGCCTACCTGTTCTCATCTTGTCGGGCTCCAGAGATGCTCCAGTAACTCTGCAATGTGGAAAAGAGGTCAGTCAGCAAGACAAAATTGTCATCTTGAGGCTTAAATAACACTTATTTATTTATTTAGAACATTTAAACCCCATCCTTCTCAACCTCCAGGACGGCTTCCAACAGGCAACTATTCAATGCTGACACAATATAACAACATAACATAACATAACATAACATAACATAACATAACATAACATAACAACATACCATAACATACAATTGGCATACATTAAAAACAGTTATAAATATACATTAAAACAACTTGCCTGTTCAAATCATTATCCAAATCAGTCCATGGCAGTACACTAAAAACCTTATCCAGAACAGTTGGGCAACATCTCCCATCATCCCCAGTTACATGACCATTGGTCACTGGCCATGTGACTTGGGGATCATGGGGGCATTTGCCCAAGACTTTTGGAAAGTGTCAAGTTAGAGAGTGCCGTTTTCTTCAAATTTTATTGAGGAAGGCCTCTTCTACACTGTCTTTATATCTCAGGATCTGATCACAGATTTGAACTGGATTATATGAGTCTGCACCACCATATAATATGGGATATGGAAATAATCTGGGATCGGATCTTGGGATATAGGGCAGTCTTAGAGTTTGGAACTTAGTCCCTCTTCTACACATCCCTATATCCCAGATTATTGGCTTATCCCAAATTACATGGCAGTGGAGACTCATATAATCCAGTTCAAAGCAGATAACCTGGGTTCAGATCCTGGGATATAAGCACAGTGTAGAAGAAACCTTACTCTCTTCCCAAACTACACGTAGATTTGTTTGTTTTAGGAAGGGAAAAGAAAAACAGAATTTTCTGTGCAGAAAACATTTTTTTTTCAAGCAGAAACGTATCTTTTTCAATGCAGGAGAATGCCTTCTACAAAGAAAAATGCTGGCTTTTGCACACAAAACTCCATGTTGCCTGAACTGGAATGCCCAAATTGGAAAGGAAGGCGTTTAGAAACAGTAGAATGAATGCAGTTTGGCTGAATGCTATGGAATCCTGGAAGATGTAGTTTCATGAGGCACAACATTGACAGAAAATGCAGAAGATCTTGTAAAAACTACTGCTCCCAGGATACCACGGCATTGAGCCATGTAAAGTTTGGATCAAGGAGTATTTGGGTATTGTGTAAATCTGGACTGCAATTTCCCATGATCCAAGTGCAACCTTCGTCCATTCCTCACTGCTGCCGTGTTGTTGGTTCGTACCGGTTCAGTGTATAAGAAGCCCAGCCCAGCGGCTCCGGTCCGTAGCAGATAGGCCTCCATCTTATGCCGCCTGAGGAACATCACAGCTTCCTGAAAAGACCAAGAGAAGGGGAACCTAAAGCCAAGCCAGTTGGGACGAGATTACACAACTAAATTGAATTCACTTTGTGCAATTCTTCTGGATAACAATCAATGGGATCAATGCACCTTCTCACCACTAGAGGACAGAATAACACTGCTGGCAGGCTGCACTATATGCATAGAGCACCATAGAATGCAGGGCCATTATAAAGGTGATCGGAAATCTATACTGAAGCAATACTTTCCTATAATCCCAACCTAGAAAGAAAGAAAATTCTTTGTACAGTTCTGAAGATCCCTCAATTGCTCCACAGGCATGAAGATGGAAAAAACAGACAGAGGGATACACCTACACAGTAGAACAAATGCAGTTTGACACCACTTGAACTCCATGTTATGGTATCTTGGGATCTGCAGTTTGGATCCCCCAGAGTATAGTGCCTAGATCCAGGGAAGGCATGCTCTCCCTCTTTTCTGCCTTGGTTAGACCACACCTGGAATACTGTGTCCAGTTCTGGGCATCATAATTGAAGGGAGATATTGACAAGCTGGAATATATCCAGAGGAGGGTGACTCAAAGGATCAAGGGTCTGGAGAACAAGCCCTATGAGGAGCAGCTGAAAGAGCTGGGCATGTTTAGTCTGAAGAAGAGAAGGCTGAGAGGAGACATGATAAGGTCCATGTATAAATATGTGAGAGGAAGTCATAGGGAGGAGAGACCAATTGGACACTAGGAGTGAGGAGATCGTTCAATAGGTTTATTTGACCAAGTCACCCTGCTGGGTGGAGCAACAAAAGAAAAGTGCCACTATAGGTTATGGTTATGACTATAAGTGCATCTACACTGCAGAATGTAAAGCAAAGGGGTATGTTCATTGTGGAATTATCGCAGTTCAATACCTCTGTGAGTAAACAAATCTGCAAAAGTCAAACTCACGAAAGTGATGCACCAACTGTTCTGACATTGAGCAACCAATGGTGCACCTGCTTCTCAACACCTTGTGTAAATGGGACCCATGCACATGGGTCAACTGGTGCATCACAGGCACAATGGCTTGTGATGCAGTTGTATTTATAGAACTCTGCTTGTGCAATGGTGAACTGAATATGGGATATAGGATATGGTCAAAAAGTGTAAGGGAACCTGGCATTGTCATGAATGCTTTTCAAACTTTAAAAAGCAATGAGAGAGAGAGTATACTACAGAGCAACACAGAGAAAGAAAGTAGACACACAAACAAAGGGGATCTTAAATTTCACTCATCATTTACATAAATATACACATTCATTCATCATCATGCATACATTACCATCTCTTCTTCCTTCTCCTGGAAAAGAGACCCTGAATTAGGTCAGAACACGTTCCCAGCAAATCTTACATTCTGTGAATACACTACCCTCCTCCCTTCATTGGAGAAGCTTGTTTTCTGCTTCCTTGGAGACTAGGACGCGGAACAATGGTTTCAAACTACAAGAGAGGAGATTCCATCTGAACACGAGGAAGAACTTCCTGACTGTGAGAGCCGTTCAGCAGTGGAACTCTCTGCCCTGGAGTGTGGTGGAGGCTCCTTCTTTGGAAGCTTTTAAGCAGAGGCTGGATGGCCATCTGTCAGGGGTGATTTGAATGCAATATTCCTGCTTCTTGGCAGGGGGTTGGACTGGATGGCCCATGAGGTCTCTTCCAACTCTTTGATTCTATGATTCTATGATTCTAAGATGGCAAGCAGACCAGACCAACCCCTGTTGTCTGCCATGATTTTGGAATAGTAAAGTGTCTCTTATATAGCAATATTTCTGCTGATGTTGTTCAGAAAGTTGTAAATGAACTTGTCGTTCATGTTGTTTTCCATCTAAAACAGTGGTTCTCAACCTGGGGTCCCCAGATGTTTTTGGCCTTCAACTCCCAGAAATCCTAATAGCTGGTAAACTGGCTGGGATTTCTGGGAGTTGTAGGCCCAAAACATCTGGGGACCCCAGGTTGAGAACCACTGATCTAAAACACCCTGACTCCATCAGTTCCTGGGCAGACGTTAACTATACTAGTTTTCCTTCTTAAGTAAGGAATCAGTGTAAACACTTCCTTAACTTAAAAGAACCATTGTCTCTGGTAATGTAAACATGTTGTTTTCCACCAAGAGTTATTCATTGGCCTCTGGTCATCAACAGTTCAGTGGTTCAGCGACAACTTTTCATTACAGTTCAGCAGTTGAGTAGTTTTCCAGGCCTCAATCTTGGGATGGCATCTTTAAGCTATATAGACCTCAATCATACACCTTTCATACAATTCCATTCAAACCATACATCACATATTCATGACAGCTTGAAATACCAATTGGACCCCAGTCTTTACCCTTAAAAAAGACAACATATGTGCATCATGATATTCCTACCTCCCTGGGCTTGATGCTTCCCAGGTCCACCGATCCTTCTAAGAGGCTTTCGTAATAGCTCTCATTGTCTAAGACGTCTTCATCATCAGGGTGGAACAGAAGGTAGGATCTGGCGTTCTCCAGGGCTTTGACATAATCGCCAACTGAAAGAGGAACACATGATCATTTGCTATGGCTCTATGATGCATCCACAATATCCCTTGGTCAGGGATGTCCAGAAATATCATAGGAAGCCAGCGGAAGGTGTTCTTCCAATGTTTGGTCCTCCAGTTGCCTTGGACTCCAGCTCCCAGGAGCTGAGGTCCAAAACATCTAGAAGACCAAAGTGTGAGAAATACTGAACAAAAACACAGCTTGTTCCAACTAAGAAGCCATACATAGTAAACTCCAGAAGTCCAATAAACCTCACCCATTGTTTTTATTTAAAAACTCTACCAACTTGGAATACTGATTTCATTTACTCCTCTGAATTGAGTCCATTTACCCAACTCAATTGGAAGTCATGAAGAGCCACTGCGGCATAAGTTATTCTCTCCTTCTCACCATCTGCAGATGTTCAACATTAAAAAGTTTGGCTGTGAATAAGAAAGCCTCTGGGGCCAAGAATATTCCCCTAATCTCTGTTTGCCATAGAAGAAAGAACATGGGGTGGGACTCCCCCAAACAGGGTGTGCCCCTTTCTGGACGGGGGCCAGGCCAGTCCCCAAAGCAAAACTGGCACGAGAGAAGGATTCGCTTCTGGACTTGTCTCTCCCCAACTTGGTTTGCAAGTTTCAGCAGGCCATGCTTACCTGTTTTATTTCCCCATCTCCTAACAGTTACTATGTATTGTAGTATGTAACCTGCACCTTTTGAAAAACTGTGGTCCTGAGGCTATTTTAGGGGGAGGGGATTGGAATAAGATTCCACCATTGAGCAGTGGTTCAAGAGCACAGAGAGTGCAATGTTCAGGGGATTGCAGGGAGCTCTATGGCCGGAGATGGCAGTGACTCAACCCCTTTTCATACCATAAAATCATAGAATCCTAGAGTTGGAAGAAACCCCAAGGGACATCCAGGCAGGAAGACACCATCCAAGCCCCACTGACAGATGGTCATCCAGCCTGTTCTGTCCCCTAAACTTTCAGGTGCCCAATTCTTGGCGAGAGGACCAGGACATCTGTAGGGAGACCAAGGTGCTTGTTTATAAAGCTATTGTCCTCCCAACCCTGCTATACACCTGTGAGACGTGGACTGTCTACAGATGTCACATGCAACTCCTAGAACGATTCCATCAGCGTTGCCTTTGAAAAATCCTGCAAATCTCTTGGGAAGACAAGCTGACAAATGTCAGCGTGCTGGAAGAAGCAAAGACCACCAGCATTGAAGTGATGGTCCTCCGCATCAACTCTGCTGGACTGGCCACGTTGTCCGGATGCCCGACCACCGTCTCCCAAAGCTCTACTCTGAACTCAAGAACAGAAAATGGAATGTCAGTGGGCAGGAAGAGAGATTTAAAGATGGACTCAAAGCCAACCTTAAAATCTCTGGCATAGACACTGAGAACTGGGAAGCCCTAGCCCTTGAGCGCTCCAGCTGGAGGTCAGCTGTGACCAGCAGTGCTGTAGAATTTGAAGAGGCATGAATCCTTAGGGGCAAGTGACCATGTGCTCCTGCAATTTGAGGTACAAAGGAAGGCTGAAACTAAGACAAGTCAAACCCGCATTTTGGACTTTAGGAGAGCTGAAAATGAAGGAAACACTGAGCAGCATTCCGTGGACACAGATACTAAAAGACAAGGGAGTTACGGATGGATGGGAATTTCTCAAGAGTGAAATACTCAAGGCGCAATTGCAAACCGTGCCAACAAAGAGAAAAAATAGGACAAGTGCAAAGAAGCCAGAATGGGTGTCCAAAGAACTTCTAACTGTGCTAAGACACAAAAGAGACATGCACAAGAAGTGGAAAAAGGGAGAAATCACCAAAGAAGAATTCAAACAAATAGCCAACACCTGTAGGGAAAAGGTCCGCAAGGCTAAAGCACAAAACGAGCTCAGGCTTGCCAGGGACATTAAAACAATAAAAAGGGCTTCTTTTCTTATGTCAGTAGAAAAAGGAAAAACAAGGAGGCGATAGGGCCTCTTTGAGGAGAAGATGGGGCAATGCTGACAGGGGGTAGGGAAAAGGCAGAACTACTTAATGCCTTCTTTGCCTCGGTCTTCTCACAAAAAGAAAGTCATCTTCAACCTCAGCAAGATGGAGTGGATGAGGGATTTGAGGACATCCAACTCCAAATTGGGAAACAAGTCGTACAGGAATACCTGGCCGCTCTAAATGAGTTCAAGTCCCCAGGGCCAGATCAACTACACCCAAGAGTATTGAAGGAACTAGCAGAAGTCATTTCGGAACCATTGGCAACCATCTTTGAGAGTTCTTGGAGAACGGGAGAAGTTCCAGCAGATTGGAGGAGGGCCAATGTGGTCCCAATCTTCAAGAAGGGAAAAAAGGATGACCCAAACTAGGATTCTATGATTCTATGAGGGTGAAAGAGAGAAACATACCAAGAGGAAGATGCATCCAGCCAACCCTGACCAGGACCACCTTCCACCTGGAAACCGATGCCCTCGCTGCAGGAGAAAATGCAGATCAAGAATAGGGCTCCACAGTTACCTATGGACCCATCACCAGGACACTACACTTGGGGGACCATCATCTTCGGACAACGAGGGATCGTCTAAGTAAGTAATACCCTAAATTTACTTACTTAGTAAGTAAAGTAATACCCTGAATTTACTTACTTAGTCAGAGCAAAGTTGGGGTAAGGGCTAAAAACTATGTATACTCGATGGATTGTAAGGACTCCCAACGCAGGATTCAAGGTGAGCATACAGTTATTCTTTCATGCAGACACCATACTGACTAGACAGCAAACAATACAATTGAATTCCCAGCAATGGCACTCCTACACAAATGTTATAGGGATGGAAGCCCAGTCCTGCATTTCAGTGGCAACCCTGCAATTGAGTAACACTTGGACTTCTCTAGTAAGTACAGAAAAAGGACAGCTTACCTCTGTAATAGGAGAACTGCAGGAAGTCATAATGCAGCGGAAGGAAGTTGTCGATGGGCGAGAGGCGCCCCGGCCGCGTTGCCAGCTCCCTCACGCACTCATGTTGGCACACCAGGACTTGCATGTAGTGCTCTGCAAGGGAGATGCGCACACACACAAAGCACAAAGGATAAATGTCAAATTCCAGGAAGAAGAGCAAGAGTTTGAGGCCCCTTTAGCTGCCATGGCTTGATACTATGAAATTCTAGGAGTTGTAGTTTTTCAGGGCTTTAACTGGCAAAAAGTGTTGGTGCCTCCAGAAACAACTCCCAGGAGTCTATTGCATTGAGCCATGGCAGGCAAAGTGGTGTCTGGGAGCATTCATTCTACAATATCTATTCACCTTAAAAACTATGAAAAACAAGACAACAATAAGACTACTCATATCTATTTATCTGCCTATCTATCCAGTCTTCCTTTCTTTCTTATCATCCTTTTATTAGTGATTTAATTGCATTTTAACTTTGGTTCAGACATGTGCTTTTACCTGTACTGGCTTAATTTTGCAACTTGCCTTTCTTTCTTTGACTGACTGATTGATATTCTGTCTTATATTATAACTCAGCCCCATTACTGCAGAAAAGGTGTGGGATAAATAAATAAATAGATAGGTCAGAGGCAACATCCAATTCCTAATCACTTCCTCCAGTAACCATGAAAAAAGGAAGTTGGATGGGAAGAGAAGGAAGGAAGGAAGGAAGGAAGGAAGGAAGGAAGGAAGGAAGGAAGGAAGAGAGAGAGAGAGAATAAACAAAAAGGAAGAAAGAGAGGGAGGGAAAAAAGGAGGAAGAGTAAACGAAAGAAGAGAAGGAAGGGAGGGAGGGAAAATGAAAGAAGGAAGAGAAGGGAGAAAGAAAAAAGGAAGAGAATCAAAAGAAGGGAGGGAGGAAAGAAGGAGAGGAGGAGGAGAAAAGGAGGGAGAGTAAACAAAAGAAGGGGAGGGAAGGGAGAGGGAAGAAGGGGAAGGGAGGGAATAAAAGAGGGAGAGTCAACAAAGAAGGGAAGGAAGGGAGGGTGGAAAAAAAAACAAAAGAAGAGAAAGAAGGATGGGAGGAAAGAAAGAAAGGAGAGAAAGACAAAATAAGGGAGGGGAGAAGGGAAGGAAGGAAGGAAGGAAGGGAGGGAGGGAGGAAGGAAGGAAGGAAGGAAGGAAGGAAGGAAGGAAGGAAGGAAGGAAGGAAGGAAGGAAGAATAAAGAAAAGGGAAGAGGGGAGGGAGGGAGGGAGGGAAGAAAGGAGGAAGAGAAAAGAAAAGAAGGGAAGGAGGGAGGGGGGGAAAAGAAAGAAGGGAGGGAGGGAGGGAAGGAAAAAAGGGAGAGAAAAAGAAGGAGGGAGGGAAGGAAGAAGGGGAGGGAAGAAGGAAGGGAGAGACAAAAGAAGGGAGGGAGGGAGGGGGGAGGAAGAAAAGGAGGGAGAAAAAAAGGGAAGGAAGGGAGGGAGGAGGGGAGGAAAAGAAAAGAAAGGGAGGAAAGGAAGGGAGGAAAGAAAGGAGGAAGAAAGAAAGAAGGAGGGGAGGAGGGAAGGGAAGGAAGGAAGGAAGAAAGGAAGGAAGGAAGGAAGGAAGGAAGGAAGAAGGAAGGAAGGAAGGAAGGAGGGAGGAGGGAGGAAGGGAGGGAGGGGAGGAAGGAAGGAAGGAAGGAAGGAAGGAAGGAAGGAAGGAAGGAAGGAAGGAAGGAAGGAAGGAAGGAGAGTAAGAGGGAAGGAGGCAAGCAAGTAAGGGAAGAAGGGAGGGAGAATAAGCAAGGGAAGGAAGGAAGGATGGAGGGAGGGCAGGAAAACAAAAGAAGGGAAGGAAGGAAGGGAGGAAAGAAAGGAGGGAGAGTAAACAAAAGAAGGGAGGGAAGGGAGGGAGGGAGGGGGAAGGAAGGAAGGAAGGAGGGAGGGAGGGAGGGAGGGGAGGAAGGAAGGAAGGAAAAACAAAAGAAGGGAGGGAAGGAAGGAAGGAAGATGTAAGTCAGGTTGGACAGTTGAACGCAGTCCCTAAAGTGGAAGAGAATGCAAGTATCTCTATTCAGAAGGGGCAAAATGCCAATGGCACGGCACGGCGCACTCTTGTTCTTTGCAACTTGCCCCTCTGGTTGACTGACCGTCAGGTGGAAGCGGAAGGCCTGCAGACAGCCCGTGCCAGCCCCTGTGTGCCACCGCAGCAGCCGAGGTCAGCAGTTCCAGCTCACGGCCCCTGAATGGAGGGTCCGGCCACTCTAATCCCCTCCCTGCCCCTTTGTCGATGTTCAAATACTTGAGCTGCAAACGCTGCCTTGGAACAAAGGCGGAATCTGTGCTGTCTCAGCCATTCCCAGTTTGCAAGCCAGAAATTCAAGCCAGATCCTGCTTTGGCCTCGAGGGGAGAATTACAAATTGTGACCATCGTGGGTGTAAATCCTGATTTTTCCAGATGGTCCCCCAATTGTTGTTCAGAGAGGACAGAGAGGGTTTCTAGTAAACATTCAGTGGAATTATGCTGTGTTTGCTGGCCTTGCAAGGATGGTAATCAGGAACAAGGAGATGATACCCGTTTTGTTCCTCGCCCGACTTCTAGTTCATTGTTTTGTTTACTGTGTTATTTGCTTAAGTGGAGCCCATCAGGAACATGCCCAAAACATGCCAGGAAGACCGTTGGAGGTGAAGCTGGGTGGAGCGGTACACATCATTCAAGGCAAGCTTAATCACGAAGGATGGCATTCATGTGATAAGCGAATGTATTCCTGCGGGTGGATCTGAAACAAGTACGGCCATGTAGATGGAGGAGAACCTTAAGAAATCTTGGAAGCCTGTGTTGTCGAAGTCTTTCATGGCCAGAATCACTGGGTTGCTGTGAGTTTTCCAGACTGCATGGCCATATTCCAGAAGCATTCTCTCCTGATGTTTTGCCTATATCTGTGGTTGCCATCTTCAGATCTTCTGCTAGCAATGAAGCAAGTGGAGTGTGTGTATACCTGTGGAATAATGTCAAGGGTGGGAGAAAAAAACTTTTATCTGTCTAAAGCAGCGTTTCTCAACCCCTGGGGGGGGGGGGTCGTGAGGAGAGTGTCAGAGGGGTCGCCAAATACCATCAGAAAACACAGTATTTTCTGTTGGTCATGGGGGTTCTGTGTGGGAAGTTTGGCCCAATTCTATCATTGGTGTGGCACAGAATGCTCATTGATTGTAGGTGAACTATAAATCCCAGCAACTACAACTCCCAAATGTCAAGGTCTATTTCCCCCAAACTCCACCAGTGTTCACATTTGGGCATATTGAGTATTCATGCCAAGTTTGGTCCAGATCTATCACTGTTTGAGTCCACAGTGCTCTCTGGATGTAGGTGAACTACAACTCCAAAACTCAAGGTCAATGCCCACCAAACCCTTCCACTATTTTCTGTTGGTCATGGGAGTTCTGTGTGTGCCAAGTTTGGTTCAATTCCATCATTGGTGGAGTTCAGAATTCTCTTTCCCCCCCCCCCCCCCCCCCCCCCCCCCCCCCACCCCCCCTCCCCCCCCCCCCCCCCCCCCCCCCCCCCCCCCCCCCCCCCCCTCCACCCCCCCCCCCCCCCCCCCCCCCCCCCCCCCCCCCCCCCCCCCCCCCCCCCCCCCCCCCCCCCCCACCCCCCCCCCCCCCCCCCCCCCCCCCCCCCCCCCCCCACCCCCCCCCCCCCCCCCCCCCCCCACCCCCCCCCCCCCCCCCCCCCCCCCCCCCCCCCCCCCCCCCCCCCCCCCCCCCACCCCCCCCCCCCCCCCCCCCCCCCCCCCCCCCCCCCACCCCCCCCCCCCCCCCCCCCCCCCCCCCCCCCCCCCCCCCCCCCCCCCCCCCCCCCCCCCCCTCCCCCCCCCCCCCCCCCCCCCCCCCCCCCCCCCCCCTCCCCCCCCCCCCCCCCCCCCCCCCCCCCCCCCCCCCCCCCCCCCCCCCCCCAACCCCCCCACCTCCCCCCCCCCCCCCACCCCCCCCCCCCAACCCCCCCCCCCCCCCCCCCCCCCCCCCCCCCCCCCCCCCCCCCCCCCCCCCCCCCCCCCCCCCCCCCCCCCCCCCCCCCCCCCCCCCCCCCCCCCCCCCCCCCCCCCCCCCCCCTCCCCACCCCCCCCCCCCCCCCCCCCCCCCCCCCCCCCCCCCCCCCCCCCCCCCCCCCCCCCCCCCCCCCCCCCCCCCCCCCCCCCCCCCCCCCCCCCCCCCCTCCCCCCCCCCCCCCCCCCCCCCCCCCCCCCCCCCCCCCCCCCCCCCCCATCACCTCTATGGGGCCCCCCCAAGGACCGGCACTCTCCCCCCCCCCCCCCCCCCCCCCCCCCCCCCTCCCCCCCAAAAAACTCACCATGGTTCTGTGTGCCAAGTTTGGTTCAATTCATCATTGGAGGAGTTCAGAATGCTCTTTGATTGTAGGTGGACTATCAATCCCAGCAACTACAACTCCCAAAATCAATTCACTTGAATCCCACCAGTATTTAAATTTGGGTGTATCGGGTGTTTGTGCCAAATTTAGTCCAGTGAATGAAAATACATCCTGCATATTAGATATTTACATTACAATTCATAACAGTAGCAAAATTACAGTTATGAAGTATCAGGAGAAATAATTTTATGGTTGGGGGTCACCACAACATAAGGAAATGTATCAAGGGGTTGCGGCATTAGGAAGGTTGAGAACCACTGGTCCAAAGCAAGTGTGGATGTTGAAATTAGCAAACTTGGATCACATTGAGTAGCCATGAAACTGCAATGTCAATCTCTATTAGCACAGAGGTAGCCTGGCCTTTGTTGAGTGGAGTTCATTATGTATTATCTTGATTCTGGCATTTTTTTAATACTGGGAACCAGATTTTGTTCATTTTCCTGGTTTCCCTCCTTTCTGTTGAAATTATCCACATGCTTCTTGTGGATTTCATTGGCTTCTCTGTGTAGCCCGACATGATGGTTGTCGTAGTGGTCCAGCATTTCTTGGTTCTCAAATAAGAAGCTGTGTCCAGGTTGGTTCATTGTCCTCTGCTATGGCTGACTTCTCTGGCTGAAGTAGTCTGCAGGGCCTTTCGTGTTCTTTGATTCGTGCCTGGGTAATGCTGCTGTGTTTGGTGGTCCCTACGTAGGCTTGTCCACAGCTGCATGGTATATGGTAGACCACATATGGGCAAACTTCGACCTTCCAGGTGTTTTGGACTCCAACTCCCACAATTCCTAACAGTCAGGAGTTGTGGGAGTTGGAGTCCAAAACACATGAAGGGCTGAAGTTTGCCCATGCCTGCAGTAATCCTCAGTTAACCAGAACTTTCAAGCAACTGGCAAAAAATGGAAGAAGGTTGTTCTCACAGGGCAGTGGTTCGCAACCTGTGGGTCCCCAGATGTTTTGGCCTTCAGCTCTCAAAAAATCCTAACAGCTGGAAATAGAAATACTCCAGTTAGGCAGAAAAAACGAAATGCAAAGATACAGAATGGGGGACGATGAAGCCTGGCTCGAGAGCAGTACGTGTGAAAAAGATCTTGGAGTCCTCGTGGACAACAAGTTAAACATGAGCCAACAATGTGATGTGGCGGCAAAAAAAGCCAATGGGATTTTGGCCTGCATCAATAGGAGCATAGTGTCTAGATTAGGGAAGTCATGCTCCCCATGCTCTATTCTGCTTTGGTTAGACCACACCTGGAATATTGTGTCCAATTCTGGGCACCACAATTCAAGAGAGATATTGACAAGCTGGAATGTGTCCAGAGGAGGGCGACTAAAATGATCAAGGGTCTGGAGAACAAGCCCTATGAGGAGCGGCTTAAGGAGCTGGGCATGTTTAGCCTGAAGAAGAGAAGGCTGAGAGGAGATATGATAGCCATGTATAAATATATGAGAGGAAGCCACAGGGAGGAGGGAGAAAGCTTGTTTTCTGCTTCCTTGGAGACTAGGACGCAATGGAAGAATGGCTTCAAACTACAAGAGAGGAGATTCCATCTGAACATGAGGAAGAACTTCCTGACTGGGAGAGCCATTCAGCAGTGGAACTCTCTGCCCCGGAGTGTGGTGGAGGCTCCTTCTTTGGAAGCTTTTAAACAGAGGCTGGATGGCCATCTGTCAGGGGTGATTTGAATGCAATATTCCTGCTTCTTGGCAGAATGGGGTTGGACTGGATGGCCCATGAGGTCTCTTCCAACTCTTTGATTCTATGATTCTATGATTCTATGAGTTGTAGGGCAAAACACCTGGGAACCCATAAGTTGAGAACTACTATTATAGGGCTTCACATTGATTCCAATGTATGGAGCCCTACAACCACAGAATCATAGAGATGGACTTCATCCAGTCCAACCCCCTTCTGCCAGGCATAAAACACCATCCAAGCCCTCCCAACAGATGGCCATCCAGCCTCTGCTTTCAAAACTTAGTAGCAGGATACTCCACCAGACTCCCAGACAGCAGCATGTTCTGCTGACAAATAGCTCTTACTGGTGAACTCAACAATCTTGACAAAAGGAGAGTCGGCAAGATTTATTTTCCATAGAACCAGCAGCAGCTCTGGTTCAAGGCCAGCATTATCCCCTGAAGCCCATTCAAGCTGTTTGTGACATTCCTCTCCTTTAGCCCTGCTGGGATGCGGACCAAGAGAGAGATCCCAGAGGAGAAAGAACATCTCAGCGCTCTCAGCATATTTCTCATCTCTTCTTTATTTTAATGAGATTTCTGAGAACTTGCTGCTGTTGACCCAGACCATCGAGGGTCTTCCAAGTGTTACACAAGCCACATCTTCAGGAAAAGTCCCAGGGAAGTGGGTTTTCATAGGCAATGCCAACAATTAGGATGGGGAGGCACGATGAGACCAAGAGGTTGGCCCAGGAAGGCATCAGAACCCAGTCAAACTTAATGCAATGACAGTAAACAATGATTACTGCTGAGATGTTGATGTCTTCACAACCTCTGAAGATGCTTGCCATAGATGCAGTCAAAACGTCGGGAGATAATGCTTCTAAAACAGGGCCATATAGCCCAAAAAACCTACAACAACCCGTCTCTGGAACAATCCAAATAATCATGGCTGAATTGCAATCTAGGTAAGTAATGAAAGGGTCTTTGAGTGAAATTTGCAAATGCAAAGCAAGGGGCTTTGAATGAAATTAACAGCAAAAGAGAAATATACTCTTTCTCTGTAGAAAAGGAGCAACACGGAAGAAAATGTTTTAAAAACAAGAGGCATCATGTAGAGGTCATACAAAGTTCAAGCTTACATAGGAAGTTAGGTTGTGGTTAAGTGCAAAGGTTGTGGTTAAGCGCAGAGTCTGCAGGTACAAGAAGGTTGTTGTTGTTCATTCGTTCAGTCGTCTGACTCTTCTTGACTTCATGGACCAGCCCACGCCAGAGCTCCCTGTCGGTCGTCACCACCCCAGCTCCTTCAAGGTCAATCCAGTCACTTCAAGGATACCATCCATCTTGCCCTTGGTCGGCCCCTTTTCCATTTTTCCACTTTCCCCAGCATCATTGTCTTCTCTAAGCTTTGCTGTCTCCTCATGATGTGGCCAAAGTACTTCAACTTTGTCTCTAGTCTCCTTCCCTCCAATGAGCAGTCGGGTTTTATTTCCTGGAGGATGGACTGGTTGGATCTTCTCGCAGTCCAAGGCACTCTCAGAACTTTCCTCCAACACCACAGTTCAAAAGCATCTCTCTTCCTTTGCTCAGCCTTCCCTAAGGTCCAGCTCTCACATCCGTAGGTGACTACAGGGAATACCATGGCTTTGACTAGGCAATGGATCTTTGGTTGCCAGTCTGATGTCTCTACTCTTTACTATTTTATCGAGATTGGACATTGCTCTCCTCCCAAGAAGGAAGCGTCTTCTGATTTCCTGGCCACAGTCTGCATCTGCAGTAATCTTTGCACCTAGAAATACAAAGTCTGTCACGGCCTCCACATTTTCTCCCTCTATTTTCCAGTTGTCAATCATTCTTGTTGCCATCATCTTGGTTTTTTTGATGTTTAGCTGCAACCCAGCTAAAGGTCAAGGGAGGGGGTTGGAAAGAGAGTACTTTCCATGACCCATTACTTGAGTATAAAGGTCAGCAGAAACAGAGGAGGGGGCGGCAGTCTTTGTAAGCTCATACAGAAGTGATGACTGTCCATCTCATGCTGATACGCTGGAATAAATGGTGTCTTACATGAACCAATTGGACTCTGTGGATTTCTTTGAAAAGGGACCCCACACCCTAAACCCGTGATCCCTTACAGTAGAACAGAGCTGTAACATAATGCTCTTCCAAGAACCAGAGAAGGTCATGTTTCCCTCTCCCTGCAGGGAATGGCTTACCTGCAATGGCTTCATAGAGGGTAGCTTTGTAGTCCAGATACTCGTATTCCTCAAATCTCTGTGGTCCCTCGCACAAGATTCGGCAGTCTGTGTCAGCAACGTTGTAGTCACGCAAAGCCTGTTCTAGGAATTCAATGGCTGTGTGGTACTCTTCCCTGTCATAATGCCGAACTCCCAAAAGGTAGTTCTCCTGTGAATGTTGGTTAGGAAAAAAGCCAGTGGTCAAGGTCAAGGTGCTGCATCGGCGTTAGCTAGACATGCAATGACTGTGCTGTACAGCTCTTGTAGCTGTGCACAACTCAGTTCACAATAGAAAGCACAAGAGCACCATATAACTTCACCTCTATGGCCTTGAACTGAATATTAACATTTCTCATCACATTATAAAAGGGGGGAGGGGTCAATTGCTTCCTTAGAGGAATCTTCCCTATCTAGAAAAAGGAAGGAAGTTGCAAAAGTCCAGTCACAACTGTCATAAAAGCTTTTTAAACAATAAAATGTTTTTTTTTATTTTGCTTACAATGAGGTGGAGTATTACCTGAGATTACCTGGGAAGGAATCCCACTGGATCATTGCAGCACACCCAAATGAGGGTGCTAGAAATAATATCCTACGAAAACTGACTGGCACAACCTGGGGATCACAACCAGATACAGTGAAGACATCTGCCCTTGCGCTATGCTACTCTGCTGCTGAGTATGCATGCCCAGTGTGGAACACATCTCACCACGCTAAAACAGTAGATGTGGCTCTTAATGAGACATGCCGCATTATCACGGGGTGTCTGCCCTACACCACTGGAGAAATTACACTGTCTAGTGTACCACCTGACATCCGCCAGGAAGTAGCAACCAATAGTGAAAAGACCAAGGCAGTGACATCTCTGGCCCCTGTTTAGGTATCAGCCAGCACGGCAATGACTTAAATCAAGAAATAGTTTTCTAAGATCTACAGAGACACTCGCTGGAACACCTCAGCAAGCAAGAGTCCAAAAGTGGCAGGCTTAAACCCAGAACCTCAACCAATGGCTGATACCAAATGAGAGACTCCCCCCTGGGCACACAGAAGACTGGGCGACTTGGAAGGCGCTGAACAGACTGCGCTCTGGCACCACAAGATGCAGAGCCAACCTTCAGAAATGGGGCTACAAAGTGGAATCCATGACATGCGAGTGCGGAGAAGAGCAAACCTACTGCAATGCAACCTGAGCCCTGCCACATGCACAAGGGAGGAACTTCTTGCGGCAACACCAGAGGCACTCCAAGTGGCCAGCTACTGGTCAAAGGACATTTAATAGAATACTAAGTCTGCAAATTTGGTGTTTTGCTTGTTTGTTTGTCTGGTTTTTTTTTGTTTGGTTTTTTAAAATGCACACAACTGTTTTGGTTCGTTCTTGACATGATAAATAAAATAAGGTATTTAATAGAGATACATCAGTACCTTCGTTACATCTAAATATGTATATATATATATATATTATATGCTGTTTTATTCACCTCTGTGCCCCCCCCCCCAGCCACTTCAGTTTACGTTCTCCTTCCAAAATACCATTTCTTCTTGTAGAGTTAGTTACCCTTCTACTTCTTTTAAACAATTCTCAAAAAATATTCCCCAAGCCTCATCAAAGTCATTTTCCTTCCATATCCCTTTTCTAACTTTTTACCTACATGTCAACTTATCATTTATTGCTAATTTCCATAGTTCTTTATACCATTCTTCAATTTGTATGTTTATTTTACCTTTCCAGTTCCTTGCTATCAACAACCTTGCTGCAGTTAACATGTAATGTATTGCACCCTTCTGTTTTTTTTAAATTTCTTGATATTATATAATGACAACAATGCAATACTTGCACTTTTTCCTATTTTCATATCCATTATAGCCTCTATTTCCCTAAATACCTTCCCTCAAAATTCATTTACATATTTACATTGCCACCACATGTGCATATATGTACCCACCTCCTGGCAACCTCTCCAACAATTTTTGTGGTGTTTTTATTAATGTTTGCTATCTTTACTGGCCCTTATTTCTCATGCCAGTAAGGTAATGATCAAGATCCTGCAAGGAAGACTCCAGCAATACATGGAGCGAGAGTTGCCAGATGTTCAAGCTGGGTTTAGAAAAGGCAGAGGAACGAGAGACCAAATTGCCAATATCCGGATGCTGGATAATGGAGAAAGGCAGGGAGTTTCAGAAAAACATCTATTTCTGCTTCATTGACAATTCTAAAGCCTTTGACTGTGTGGATCATAATAAATTGTGGCAAGTTCTTAGTGGGATGGGCATCCCAAGCCACCTTGTCTCTCTCCTGAGGAATCTGTACAAGGACCAAGTAGCAACAGTCAGAACTGACCACGGAACAACAGACTGGTTCAAGATTGGGAAATGCGTACGGCAAGGCTGCATCCTCTCACCCAACCTTTTTAACTTGTATGCAGAACACATCATGCGAGGATGTGCGGGGCTGGATGAATGCAAAGCTGGGGTGAAAATTGCTGGAAGAAACATTAACAACCTCAGATATGCAGATGACACCACTCTGATGGCCGAAAGCGAGGAGGAGCTGAGGAGCCTTCTAATCAAGGTGAAAGAAGAAAGCGCAAAAGCCGGGTTGCAGCTAACGTCAAAAAAACCAAGATTATGGCAACAAGAATGATTGACAACTGGAAAATAGAGGGAGAAACCGTGGAGGCCGTGACAGACTTTGTATTTCTAGGTGCAAAGATGACTGCAGATGCAGACTGTGGCCAGGAAATCAGAAGACGCTTCCTTCTTGGGAGGAGAGCAATGTCCAATCTCGATAAAATAGTAAAGAGTAGAGACATCAGACTGGCAACCAAGATCCATTGCCTAGTCAAAGCCATGGTATTCCCTGTAGTCACCTACGGATGTGAGAGCTGGACCTTAGGGAAGGCTGAGCAAAGGAAGATCGATGCTTTTGAGCTGTGGTGTTGGAGGAAAGTGCTGAGAGTGCCTTGGACTGCGAGAAGATCCAACCAGTCCATCCTCCAGGAAATAAAGCCCGACTGCTCACTGGAGGGAAAGATACTAGAGACAAAGTTGAAGTACTTTGGCCACATCATGAGGAGACAGCAAAGCCTAGAGAAGACAATGATGCTGGGGAAAGTGGAAGGCAAAAGGAAGAGGGGCCGACCAAGGGCAAGATGGATGGATGGCATCCTTGAAGTGACTGGACTGACCATGAGGGAGCTGGGGGTGGTAACGGCCGACAGGGAGCTCTGGCGTGGGCTGGTCCATGAGGTCACGAAGAGTCGGAGACGACTGAACGAATGAACAACAACAGTTCTTGAACCATTGTGCTAACTGTAAACAATGGTGCCATGGGAGTTTCATATCTCTAAATTCTCTCTGTATATTTTCTTTCTTCAGATCTGCTTTTATCCAATCTCCAAAGTTATCTATATTCTTCTCTCTTAATTTTGTATCCAAAATATTTTTTAGATTTTTTAGATTTTTTGGGAATTTCCTATCCATTATTATTGGTGTTAATGTTGAACTTTCTGACAATAATATTTTTTTGTATCTATTCCAAATTTCTAGCACATTTCTCAACATTGGGTTTTTTACTTCCTTAATTTCTTTCCTTTTTAAATCCTTAAAAATATATATTCCAAAGTTTATATTACTTTTCTAAGGGGTCTGGGGCTTGGGGCGAGGAGAGTAGGGCCTCTACACATTCTCTTGGACTAGTCTGGACACCCACCCCAGAAAGCACATGTGGGTGTGGAAAGGCCTCCACAAACATCCGTGTTTTTCTAACGCAGATGCTTCTGGAATAAAGGCCTGTCTGGATCCGGCCTCACTGTCTTTGACTATGTAAACATGTTGTTGTGCACCACAGAGTTAATCACTGTATCTGGTCATCAGTGTCGGCAGTTTAGCAGTTTTTATTTCATCAGCCTTTTGCAGTTTTTTAGGCTTCAATATTCTTAGGATGGCATCTTCAGGCGATATAGGCCGCAATCATACTATTTTCATACAATTTCATTCAATGCACTCGTATTCCTCACACAGAAAAGGCTGATGTTTATCAATGACTAAGGCAACTTCCATATAGCTTTATAAGATCCACATTGAACTAGATTGTATGGCAGTGTGGACTCAGATAACAGTTAAAAAGCAAATATATTGGGTTATCTGCCTTGATATTCTGGGATATATGGCTGTGTGGAAGGGCCCTTAGACAATGGGATAGAGGGGATGCTTCCTTATCACATTTACAGATGACAACCAATTGGGAGGGATCGCTAATACCTCACAAGATAGGATCAGGGTGTAAAATTGTTGAAGTGTTTTGCAATGTGTAATGTAGATTTCAAAGTATGTATGTATGTTTAAAAATGCAATGCTATGTGCCTAGTGTATTCCTGTGTAGAAAGAGTTAACTGTACCATGGAGGGAAAGGCATTCCTAGAGAGGTCATAAATCAAAGTGTATAGAGCAATGGACTCAGCGTAGAGTGTCGTAGGTCATACGTCACTCTGGAATGCAGGAGGTGTGGACTAGTACTGATAACAGTACTGTGTGTTCATGATGTAGTTACTGGACTGAGAGGAAGCAGTCTTATGATGTGCTACTGTTTATAGCTGTAAATAAAGTAGTTTATAGCCTAAAGGTGACTGTGATGATCATGTTCCTTGCCTTGCTGTGTGGCCGATGCCACTGGCAAAAATGACCTTCACAAATGAAAGATCTGGGCCAAAACTAACAAAATGAATTTAAACAGGGAGAAAAGTAAGATTTGGCAATAGAAATGAAATGCACAGATATAGGATGGATGACACCTGGCTTGGAAATAGTCCATGTGAAAGGTATCTAGAGTCTTAGTGGATCACAAGCTGAACATGAACCAAGAATGTGATGCAGCAGCTGAACAAGTCAATGGGATTCTTCGCATATAGTCCCAAAATGGGGAGAAGTAATAAACCTACTCTTTTCTGGTTTGGCAGACCTCACCTGGAGTAATAACGCTGTGCCCAGTTCTGGGAAAAGCAATTTAAGGAGGAGAGGGACAAGCTGGATGGTGTCCAGAGAAGACCTCTAGACACAAGCAACATCATACAGGAGATAACTTCAGAGAACTTGGGCATAAGCCATTTAGATTCCAGCCATGACTCTGATCTCATCCCTTTGCAAAGGACTAGCCTTACCAGGTGAGGCTTGGCTTCTCGGTCCACCAACTCCACCTTCCCTGCCGTGGTCTTGAGGGTCTCCAGGTCTTGCTGTACCTCCATATGTTCTGGGTTGGCCAAGAAGAAAGTGTGTGCCGCATCGGCCGCTTTGTCCGGCTGGTTTAACTGGGAGGAAAGCAGGAGAAAGAACAATGACTGACCACGTAAAACAGAATGAAGGCTTACATGTTGTGAACTCCTTCCTTTCTTGGCTTTCAGGGGACTACGTTATAAACGCACATTGCAAACACACTTGGGCTTTTCTTATGAGATCTGCAGATTTATACAAAACCAGCAACAATACAACTTATCAAGATATATCTTGCAAAGTTCCATGCACTCGGTATGGCACCAAGACAGAAAAGCCTTGATATGAAGATGAATTCAGGTAAATCTAAATACAAAACAGATAATAATAATAATAATAATAATAATAATAATAATAATATGATGATGATGATGATGATGATGATGATGATAATAATCATCATCATCATCATAGAATCATAGAATCAAAGAGTTGGAAGAGACCTCCTGGGCCATCCAGTCCAACCCCATTCTGCCAAGAAGCAGGAATATTGCATTCAAATCACCCCTGACAGAAGGCCATCCAGCCTCTGTTTAAAAGCTTCCAAAGAAGGAGCCTCCATCACACTCCAGGGCAGAGAGTTCCACTGCTGAACGGCTCTCACAGTCAGGAAGTTCTAATTGAAAAGTCAACGACAGATCCCAAATGTAGACACTGTAAAGAAGCAGATGAAACAATAGATCCCATCCTCAGCTGCTGCAAGAAGATCGCTCAGACAGACTACAAGCAGAGGCATAACACGGTTGCTCAGGTGATTCATTGGAACTTGTGCCACAAAGACCATCTGCCTGTGACAAAGAACTGGTGGGATCACAAGTCGGAAAAAGTAACAGAGAATGAACACGTCAAACTCCTCTGGGATTTCTGAATTCAGACAGACAGATTTTTGGAGCACAAGACTCCTGACCTCACAATCGTGTTAAAAAACAAAGTATGGATTGTCAATGTTGCAATCACAGGTGACAGCAGGATTGAAGAGAAACAACTGGGAAAGCTGACACGATACGAGGATTTAGAGATCAAACTGCAAAGACTCTGGCGCAAACCAGTTAAAGTGGCCCCAGTAGTGATTGGCACACTGGGTGCAGTACCTAAAGACCTTGGCCTGCACTTAAACACAATCGGCGCTGACAAAATTACCATCTGCCAGCTGCAAAAGGCCACCCTACTGGGATGTGCACACATTACTTGCTGATACATCACACAGTCCTAGACACTTGGGAAGTGTCCGACGTGTGATCCAATTCAACAGCCAGCAGAGTGATCTTGTTTGCTGTGTACTATTTTTTGTGTGTTTCAAATAATAATAATAATTCAATATAATAATAATGGCTTCATTGCCACTAACACAGCCAATGGTGGCTTTGTGGGTAATAATAATAATACAATATAATAATAATAATAATGATGATGATGATGATGATGATGATGATAATGCCTTCATTGCCACTCATTGCCAATGATGGCTTTTGAGGTAATAACAATCCAACTTAACTTTGAATATGTTTTAATTGTTTTTAACTGGGAATTTTTTTAGTACTGTTCATATTTAATCCAGTTTTAATATTTGCATATTTGTATATTTTAAATTGTATGCTAATGCTCTTATGTGAAGTCACGTTGAGGCTTCTTTGGGAGACATAAAGTGGAATAATAATAATAATAATAATAATAATAATAATAATAATAATAGAGGTTGACTACCCTTTATGCAAAATGCTTGGGATCAGAAATGTTTTGGATGGATATGTGTGTGTGTATGTGTGTGTGTGTGTGGGATAATAATAATAATAATAATAATAATAATAATAATAATAATAATAATAATAATACAGGTTGACTACCCTTTTGTGCAAAATGCTTGGGACCAGAAGTGCTTTGGATGGACATATGTAAGTATGTGTGTGTGTGTGTGTGCACATGCACACGCACACACACACTCATGCATCTATATTTGCATATATGTACCGCATGGGATTTCTTGGGAAATGAAATCCAAGTTTAAACATGATGTTCACATATATTTCATATGCATCTTATACAGATACCCTGAAAGCAATTGTATACAATGGAGCCCCCAGTGGCACAATGGGTTAAATCCTTGTGCCCGCAGAACTGAAGACCGACAGGTTGGAGGTTCAAATCTGGAGAGAATGTGGATGAGCTCCCTCTGTCAGCTCCAGCTCCCCATGCAGAGAGATGAGAGAAGCCTCTCACAAGGATGGACATGAAAATGGGGTATTATTATTATTAATAGTAATAACAACAACAACAACAACAACAACAACAACAACAACAACAACAACAATTCAGGTTGACCACTCCTTATGCAAAATGTTTGGGACCAGAAGTGCTTTGGATGGACATATGTAAGTGTGTGTGTCTGTATAACATATATGTACCGCATGAGATTTCTTGGGAAATGAAACCCAAGTTTAAGCATGATGTTCACGTCTATTTCATATGCACCTTATACAGATACCCTGAAAACAATTGTATACAATGGAGTCCCCAGTGGTCCAATGGGTTAAACCTTTGTGCCGGCAGAACTGAAGACCGACAGGTTGGAGGTTCAAATCTGGAGAGAATGTGGATGAGCTCCCTCTGTCAGCTCCAGCTCCCCATGCAGGGAGATGAGAGAAGCCTCTCACAAGGATGGAAAAACATAAAAACATCCGGGAGAGTGTGGATGAACTCCCTCTGTCAGCTCCAGCTCCCCATGCGAAGTGGACATGAGAGAAGCCTCCCACAAAGATGGGAAAACATCGAAACATCCGGGCAACGTACACTGGACAACATCCTTGTAGATGGCCAATTCTCTCACACCAGAAGCAACTTGCAGTTTCTCAAGTCACTCCTGACATGAAAAAAAAATGTCTACAATACTTTTAATATTTTTGTGCACAAAACAAAGCTGTGCACATTGAGTCACCAGAAAGCAAGCATGTCTGTGTGGGCATAGTTAGGAGCATTTTGGAATTCTGGGCAAGGGATGCTCAGCCTGAACAAAGACATCGCACCACAATGAGGAATTTACTCTTCCTCAAGCTCTTCAGCCATAAACAAAAGCCTTACTGCATAGCCATCCAGCTCTGCATGAAAACTTGTAAATACAGTCCCTTCTTTAACATTCGCCCATCTGTTGGGACAAACCGATAATCCCATAATCATAGGAACATTCAGTTAAAGCAACCACCGAAAGATAGCATTCAGACCACTGTTTAAAGAACGTCAACTTCATCACAACCCAATGCCGAACAGCTCAAGCAGAGTAAGAGTTCTTCCTAGCGTTCGGGTGAAATCTCTATCTCTCTTTCCTCTGTATTTTGAATTGTTTGGTTTGTTGTCCAGTCTCCAGAGCAGCAGGAAACAAGCTGGCACTATCTTCTGACGTCCCCTCTGATGTTTAAAGATAGCTAAAGATAACCGTCTTCGCCTTCTCCAAGCAAAACATGTTCTCTAAGATATTCCTTATAGGGCTACGTTCCCACATATGTTGCAATAGTCATCATAATCAAGTTGGATTGAACTCAATATCTGCATGTACTTCCATGCTCAATGCCCACCTGGGCATGTTACACATTGAACATCAATACACAATGGCTATTTGAATGTGCTGTTGTGTTGCCCCCAGTGGCGCAATGGGTTAAACCTTTGTGCTGGAAGGACTGAAGACAAACAAGTTGGACATTCGAATCTGGGAAGAGCATGGATGAGCTCCCTGTTTCAGCTCCAGCTCCGTACGCGGAGATATAAGAGAAGCCTCCCACAAGGATGGTAAAACATAGATTCATAAAATCCTAGAGTTGGAAGAGACCTCGTGGGCCATCCAGTCCAATCCCATTCTGCCAAGAAGCAGGTAAATTGCATTCAAAGCACCCCCGACAGATGGCCATCCAGCCTCTGTTTCAAGCTTCCAAAGAAGACGCCTCCACCACAGGCAGGAAAATTGCATTCAAAGTGAAAGGGTCTTTGAGTGAAATTTGCAAATGCTAAGCAAGGGGCTTTAAATGGAATTAGCAGCACAGAAGAAAATGTTTTTAAGAAACAAGATGTGACATGTAGAGGTCATACAAAGTTTGAACTTACATAGGAAGTTAGGTTGTGGTTAAGCCAAAGGTTGTGGTTAAGTGCAAAGTCTGCAGGTACAAGAAGGTACTTTCCATCAAAAG